TTTAAGTTTAAATTATAATATTATTTAGAATAAAATAATTAAAGTTCACTTGATGTAAAAGTCTGAAAAATGAAAGGAAGTGATGGTTAGTCAAAATTATGTTGATGAATGAATAATGATTTAAAGTTGATGTGATGTGTAAAAATGATTGGTTAATATTATTTAAGTATATTAATAATACTAGTGTGCATCCCGTGCGATACACGGACGGGTATGTTACTTAATTTTTTTTAGAACTTTATTGTAAATGTAATTAGTTATGCTTAACATCTCAGTATTGGAAAAAAAAAAAATACAAAATATAAGAAATTAGAATACACCAGTGAAGAACATATCAATTAATCCAAATTAAATCTAAACACAAATACTTCATACTTCTGAATCAAACTAACCATTAATGATTGCAAAACCTTCCACTAAAATCCAAATATTTGCAGTTTCAGAGCTAAAAATAATGTCCACTTTTCATTAAAAAGAAACCTAAGTTAGTCACTTACTTGAGCATCTACAAATCCTTCTCTATATTTAGACAATCATATGCACACATCACACACACAAAACTTCTACGCACTTTTTCTTTCTTTCTTTTTTTTTTTCTTTTTTTTTTTGTGTATGCGCGTAAAAAAGTCATAAAACCCCAAAATTTACTTCATCAATCAACGACAACTTTTCATCAACTTTTTCCTTTCTCCTTTCCCTCTGCCGCTTGCTTCGTCATATAGGTTGCAATCGCCGCCGTCAATTTTGTCAGAGAATCTTCACTTCTTCGACGACACAATCTTCCTACCGAATAAGGTTACCTCTGGCTCCTTCAATTCATTCATCCTCCACAATAACACCCAAAATTAAAATAAAAGAATATAAATTGAACCCAACAAAATATATGTAAAAAAAAAAAATTCTAAAAATAATAATAATAATAATAATAATAATAATAGTAATAATAATAATAATAATAATAATAATAATAATAATAATAATAATAATAATAATAAGATGGTAGAGAGTTATGTTGGCAATTGACAATTGGCAATGGCGAATGAAATGTTATCTTCAAATCTATATGAAAGAGTCCTCCTGTGGCAGCAACACCCTCATCTTCTTCACCACAACACTTTATCCATCCTCTGCTCCGCGTAGATCGGTCAGCTGATCATCGGCACCTTGCGCGTCACAACATCTCTCTTTGTTTGTGATTGTTTCCTTTACATATGAGGCAATAATCAAAATCGATTCATTATAACAATTGCAATTTCCACATCAAAACATAATTTTTAAATAATGATATAAATATAAAAAGAAAAAAAAAAAGAAAAGAAGAAGAAGATGATGAACTGACACACCCAAGTCAACCCAGCGGCGCGAACCCTCCGTACTATCATCTGCTGGAACTCGTTGAAGTTGACCCTCCTGTAGTCTAGGTCGATTCGACAAACACACACCTCTGTTTTTTGTACAAACATAAAATTTAATTCGTCTTTTCCTTTTTGCTTTGTTATAAAACACAAATTAACAATTAAAAACCAATAAATCACAAAAACGAAAGTTTATTAATAAATTAACCTTAAAAAAAATCCAAAAAAAAAAGAGTAAAACAAAGAAATTCAATTTCATTTTCCTTGCCTGAAGTTGTCATCCATTAGGATTTGTGGTGTTCTCATCGTTTGATAACCGAAACTTGATCCTTTCTGATTCGTCGAGCGTCAACGCGATTTTTTACTGTTTCACTTCCTAGTGATCATGTAGCGTTATCGAGCCATGACTCCTTCTCCAGCACGTGGATCTCGAGATTTTCCAGCGACTCGCCGAGCTCCTCTCATCTGATCTTGTCGTGCCCGTTCCAATCGAGCATGGAGAAAACCCGGCGGAGTTCCGACGTGCCGATCTACTCATGTGGAGGATGGAGCCTAAATTGTTCGGCGATAATTGTTTTCGATTGATCATATATGATTTTGATCGGTGGACATATTCATAGATTAGATAAAATATCACAAGTTCCTTTTAATTGTCCATAATTTTCGTGTATTGTTAGGAATATAGGTTAGATAATTATGGATACAAACACTTATTCCTAAAATTAGCTGCATATAAATTCCATCCTAAAAAAAAGAAGTGAAATTAGTTGGACTTATTCAAAAAATCAGATTTCACCAATAAAAATCTACTAAATCATATTCTAAAAAAAAAAAAGTAAAATTAGGCATATTATAAAAATCGGATTTCACCAAATCCCATTAAAAAATAAATGAATTGAAATGTTGGCGGGATTTCGAAAAGTATTAAAAAAAATTCCAAAAAAAAAGTAATTTTTGAAAAATGTAAGGGAGAAATTTCTTACTAATTATGTATTTTTTTTAATTGTTTTATATAGTAATACATTGGAGATAGTTTGAGTTAAAATTACGTTTTCGATTAATTTTTTTCGGGTGGATTTTAATATAGTTTCTAAAAAGAGAAAAA